CTCTCTTGGGCTGCGGTACCTATGGAAGCAGAGATTTCAGAATGAGCTGTCCTGCCCAGCTAGTCAGGGCTAACTGCGTAGCAGGACCAGGCACAAAGATTTCCTGGTCTTAACCTGCAGGGTCAGTGAGAGGAGGCAGAGCTGCTCCCCAGACAGTACAGTTCCCGAGAGTGGAACACCTTCTGGGAGGAGGGGAGCTCGCTAGACAGTTTTTGGCAGCTGAAGCTCCTCCACTTGAGCCTTGATTGTATGCCACACAAGCAGGATTCTGTATTCATCCCTCTTGTCTCCTCATTTTATCTGTTCTGGTTAGGTTTAACTTGTGGGCTTCCTTCTTATTCGCAATGGTTAAAGGCCAAGCATAAACTAGCTGTGTGGCAACGGGGAGCTTAACAGCAGGAGAAATGGTCCCTTTTCCAGAGCCGATTACTGCATTCACCATCTGTCACTGACAGGGAAACTGGTGACTTCCCCGTTGACCATGGGCATCCTTTGGCACTTCAGGAAAAGTGACTGATGCAGGCTAGATTTGAGTGGCGTATAGCTAGCGAAAACATATACAGCCTAACCACAGATTTCTGTGCATTAACTACTGTGTGATGGAATAAGATCAGAGGAAAAAGCGGGATAAATCTTGGAAGGAGGTCCAAGGACAGAGATAAAAAGGACTCGGAGTGGAGAGCTGTGATTCTCATAAGACAGAAAATTAATTTCATATGAAGTTCTCCTTTTCCCTCTTTCACTACCTAGCACAGAAAACTCTTCTAAAATGCTAGGCTAGGGATCCCTGCAGCCCGCGTGGGGCCATACGTTCTTATATAGGGGAACTGTTGGATAGCAATGCTGCAATTCTAGTCCCTGGACCGTAACTTACTCCCCCCCCCGTCTTCCCAACCCTCATCTGTCTTGGCCTCACCTTGAAAGCATCACATGTTGCCACAGAGGGAGTTAGCACAGCGCTAGCTGATTTGTGCCGTGCTGACTCCCTTTTCAAACACCCACGGGCTTTGCTGCAGAGTTGCCTTCATGACAACCTGTGCAGCGTTTTCCGCTTGTAGGGTGAGTGATTCAGCAAAAGTATGTTCTTGCATACTACTGTACGATTACTGAAACATTAAAAAAGCTAACAGGAGAGAGAGAGCTGAAATACCTTCAGAGTATTTATACCTTTAAGTATACTGCACTCTAAATACTTTAGAAGGTGCTAGATATGATAGCGTAATGCAAATATTAATTGTAGGGTACTGTACCTGTATGTGTCTCTAGGTATCTGTAGAGAGGGATAGTGCCTTGCAGAATTGTATTTACCAAATTAAACATCTTTGCACAGCTACTTTAGTATCAAGTAGATTTGATTTCTTCCGGAAATGAGAATAACTGCTTTTAAAAGGGACTGTCACTAGGAAAGACAAATGGTAGCCGAATAAAAATGCTCCTTCGCACACCTTTTCCTACATTCACGTCTTCCTGTTTTGACTGCAGGATCAATAGCTCATTGCTCTGTTGGTTCCAATAGTATTTCTGTCTTATTCAGATAACTCTGTGCCGCAACATATTATTTCTAAATTCTGTTGGCAAGCTATTGATGGGAAATGGGGGAGCTGCATATCATAGAGTCCACAATAAATGAATACCAATTATTACCTCTTTTAGAGCTTAGATGAACAGAAAACTATCCACAGAATGAGAGATACTGCATTAATTAAACAAATAACTCTGAGTGGGAGTTTTTTAGTAGAAGTGTTATACTGAACTGGTTTATTTACTTACCATTTATTAGTGAGGATTGTTTAGTACACAAAATTTGCATTAAAACCTGTAATCAAAAAGTTTACATAAACATAGTATCAAAATAAGTCAGAGGTTATATGAAGTGTGCACATCTCTATACCGTATCCATTGCCACAGTGAGAAGTTTATAGTAGAAATTGGGGTTTTAATCAACTGAATTCAGGCTTTGTTGTTCTCTCACTGCATTGTATAGGCTGCTTCAAGGAAAAAAACTGGGACAGCAGAAATGTTTGCTTTGATTTTTGGATGCTTCCTTCACTTCTGAAATTTAATTCTGATTAATCAGATACATCTGTCTTTATTCAGTTGTGACATGCATTGATTTGTGATGCCGTCGCTTTCAATAATGTGGAAACAGTTGCCTTTATTATGCGAAGCGGCAGAAATCAACATGCAGACTAACTTAATTTTTAATCTTTAATATTTTTTTTTCATTATATATGGAGTAAGTTGCATGGATGATTTTAAAAACAAAGCTACAATTAAAACTAGATTAAATTTAGAACTAAGCCATAGTGGAGAAAACTTTCTAGTCATAATATATGTTTATACAATTAGCTGATGTAGATTTTACAATATATTTTCAGAACCATTTCTAAATTAAAACCATTGCTGGTGGAGAATTAATTAATTTACCGAGGATATATCACATTTCTATGTGCCGTTATTACAATATACATATTCAGGCTCCAACTAGTTCTCTCTGTACATTTGCACTGTGCGCACTTCGCTTCATAATTGAAGGTGGTAAAAAATCATGGTACAATGACGCATTGTTTTCCATAACATTAGTATTTCACAGAAGTGAATCTGTATTACAAAATGTATATTTTTGTATGATACTACAGCGTAGTAATTTAGATTAAACTAGTTATAATTTATGGTGCCAAGCCAAAAAGCTATTTAGAGATGCATTAAAATGCAGAACCATGACATTTGAAATTCTGATGTTCTTAATATGACAAAGGTTATTCTATGGAGTTTTGCTATAATATGAAATATTAATATTTCACAATACAGTTTTGATGAAGTACAATTTGCCTAGCTTGCATATGATAAAGAAATTAAATGCTTACCA